TGCACACCCAGAGGCAAGCTCCGGGGGCAAAAACAACCACCGTGCGAATTTCAACGCCAAATCAAAATTGTTGCCCCAATGCTCACAGCCAATTCGCTTTGGTATGCAGAACCGGTAAAAATTGTATCTTATTTTGTAGGAAATCCCTACAACAAATAGATGTTCTCTCTTTTTCAGCTTTTCAGCGCCTTGTTTGGTCTAGATACTGCACTGCTGCGCCAATCTGCAGTCTCTCCCCTGCTGCACTTTCACTTTTCAGTGGGACGCAGTTTTTCACCTATTTTTTTCTGTATTCGTATTTCTGCAATTTGCATTAAAGCAGTTTCAGCTGCTTTGGCAGAGACAATGTCAGTGCGGTTTTGGCTATATATCGCTGCACTGCACTCTTTTAGGATGGATTTCATGAATTTCGTTAATTACCACTGTTTATGAGCGTTCTAAATATATTTAAAATGTAATTTAAAATTGCGAAAAAACTGCAATTCAGTGTGACTGCGAATTTTTTGGTAATATATACCGCCTGACCGTCAGAAGTATACTTTCTCACTCTCAAAAAATACCATAAATATACAGAGGATAAAACGAACTCAACCCACTTCAGCCCCATTTATTAAACAAAGTGAGAGTGCAGTGAGTGTTAATAAATCCGCTCAAACCCGGGTCTTGAAATGGTGCATTCTCCCTTTCGTTTCCGTTGGTGCCGTTTTTCCTATTGGAAATGTTGGATATCTCAGGCTCCAACCAGAGCAAACAAGTCAATATGAGTTGGATATCCATCTCAGCGAAATATTGCAGGATATAGATACCGAGAGTATATCTACATCGATATGTATATAAGATAAAGTCATTATTAATTTTTACAAGCAGCTTGGTAAGCAAAATTTTAATTTAATTGACAAAAAGAATGTATACAAAAAAAATAACATATCCAACAATTGGTTGACAATCAACAAGTTGTCAAATTACTTAACGTTCCATGCCCATTCGCTCAACGTTTTATGCTATTTTTTTTGGTTGACCTTTTAGTTTAAAATTTAGTTTGGAAACATTATTATAAAGGAGGAAATGTTTGATAAATCGGACAAAATTATAGTATAAGCGCTGAGAATCTTAACTAGCTGGTAATATTAAGCGGGAAATCAAAATCGGGTAAAATGAAATGGGATATACCGTATATTAACGGAATACTTTTGTATGTCTTTGAAGGTCGTGTGGTATATTGTATCCATTAACCCGCGGTCACTCTGATTGTTAGGAAATTGCACGAAAAAAGTAAAATTAACAACAAAGAATTCAACTGAAATTTGAGGGTGCCGGCTGTTTCCAGGATATGAGTCACCGGCCAGTCAATCCGCTAAACAGATTGCCCAAACATGTCCGATTCTAAGAGCACCAACTCCTGCGTGGAAACTCCCACAGCACCGGAATGGCTGTCGAAGCTGGAAAACCGACGCGAAATGGTTACACTGAACCGCTCGAAGCTGGGACACGAGAGTGGGGCGGGCGCTCCCTGCACCGAGTGCAAGGACAAGTGCCCCGGCCTGGATCTGCACTTCTGGCGGAAGGTCTGCCGCAACTGCAAGTGTCGCAAGAATCAACATATGTGCACGGATGATGACGCCACCGGCTGGGCGCAGTTCGAGATTCTCGGGCAGATAAGGGCCAAGCCAGCATGTAAGTGGTTGATGGGAAACAAAGCGAACAATTCATCACGAACAGTACTCCCATTTAGATATCAAAATCAAGGCCCTTGCCAGCCAGCCTGTGCAACTGGAGTGGGTGCCCCCGAACGCGGCACCCGATGTGGTCACTGACTACATGGAGAAGTTGGGTCCTGCCCAGATACCCGTGGCTGGCAGCGATGCGGCACACAGGCGCAAGCAGCAATTGGAGTTCCAAGTGCCTCCGCACGACCTGGATGCTGCGCTGTGCGATGGCTTGTCCGAAACAGAGGCCCGCCAGCTGCAGCAGTATGTGCAAAAGTTGCGCGAGCAGTGCGTGGGGCAGGGAATTGTTGTGCGCGTTGGCAACCGCTTGACACATGGCCATGTTGAGCATGTGGCCAATCCCCTACCAATCCACTCGGAAGCAGCGAACAAGACCTGGCAGTATTTGGGCCTCTCGCCCGTGGCTGATGCCACACTGACAGAGCTGCTGTCCAATCCGAAGGTGAGCGATGCCTTGTCCAGCCAGGTGAATGCCCAGCCCAAGCTGCTTGTGGCCTTCTCGGAGCCGTTGACCGACTCAATAACTCAGTTTGAGGAAGACGGCGCCTTGCAGGCCCGCACCAAGGAAAAGCTGCTGGGAATCAGCAAGCCAGCGCTGCAAAGTCTCGTCACCCATGGCGTCATCTATGACAAGGTGCTGGGAATACTCCAGGTAAGAATAGTTGGAATTTGATGTTAAATGAATTATTTAAATGATTTTCCTATTTAGGACAAGAACCTGAACATTTCCAGGGATCCCAAGCTCGGACCCATAGCCGAGTTCCGGAAGGAGTACGTGAACAATCCTCAGTTCAGGGCAGAGATCAGCACCATCTGTCCGCAGCCCATGACAGCGGTAACGCCACTCAAATCCTCTCCAGCTACTCCGTTCAACTCTCCGCTGCCGCTCAAGAATCCGGTGCAGGCGAGATTCGGTGCACAAATGCGACAGGACACGCCCATGCGACGTGTTAAGTTCGGCGGCGTCTCGACCATTGTCTATGACTGCGGTCTGCCTGCCAACATTGACTATGAGCGTGATCCCGTCTTTGCCCAAATCATACAGGCGGAGCCGCTGAAGCAGGCACTAATGGAAGTTCGCGCTGGACGCCCTCCTCCGCCCGTAGTCATTGCCTGCTCACCAGCTGCCGTGGAGAGCCTCAGCCAGTTGCACGGACTGTCGCCCACAACCAAGGGGCAGCTGCAGGAAGTCGGAGTAGATAGGCACATGCTCCACTCGGCTGTGGCCAATGGTCCGTACTACGATCGACTCTTCCGCAGCCTCCAGGACAAGGGAATCGAACACGACAAGTGCCAGCTGCTACAGCCCATCAAGCAGGTGCACGACTGGCTGCTGAACGACGACCAGCTCCTAGAGGACATTGACAAAGTGTTCCATGACATGGCAAACGCCAGTCGAGACATTGCCTATGCAAAGCCCTACGGGAACTTGCCCACCTCCCAGAGCAACGATTCCGGCTTCCATTCGAAGCCATCGACCCCAGGCTATGGTAGCGAAGATCTTACCCCCGGCCAGGGCAAATTCACCACCATTCCAGGCATCGAGGACATGAACATGTATCCCAATTGTGCGGGCATGCCGGAGCAGTTCCAGCAGCTGCGCCTCCAGGGCAACGAGCCATCGGCCAGAGGTGAGCCCGTTCCGAGCATCAACTGCGGCGATTGCAACCAGCCCATTGACTTCGGCGAGGTGGCCGTCAAGGCGGAACGTGCCGGCAAGGAGATTGCCTGGCATCCCGGCTGCTTTAAGTGCCACACTTGTCGCGAGCTGCTGGCCGATTTGGTTTACTTCTTCCACCAGGGACAGGTGTACTGTGGCCGCGACTTGGCCATCAAGCTGAAGATACCACGCTGCAAGGCATGCGACGAGCTGATCTTCACCAAGGAGTATACAGCTGCCGAGAGCGCCACGTACCACATCAAACACTTTTGCTGCTATCAGTGCGACGAGCCGCTGGCCGGACAGCAATACATTCCCGACGAGAAGTCGAACATGCCGCTGTGTCTGCAGTGCTACGACAAGTTCTTTGCCGTCAATTGTAGGCAATGTCAGCAACCCATCGGTCCAGCGGACCAGGGTGTGGCCTGGGGCGACATCCACTGGCATGGTCAGTGCTTTGTCTGCGCTGGTGTCCAGTGCTCAAAGTCGCTCATCGGCGGCCGCTTCTGTGTCAAGCAGGACTTGCCCTTTTGCAGTCCCACCTGTGTACGCAGCCGCATTCCGTGAACTCCGAACGGGGAACCACTTGACAGTATTTTAATGTGACTGCACAAAGTATCTAATAATGTAACCCCAATATGAATATCTGGCTGAATGCAACAGACTCAAAGTGCCTAGAATAGATTTCAATGCAACGATATTTACAAACTCCACAAACTCTTTTGCCGTGCCAATAGACCAAATACGAGCATACATTTTACACAGAATATTTACACATTGAAATGTTTTATATATGTATACAGAAAGCCAATTTTATAACGCACACGAATTTGGAATAAAGCCTTTTACATTTAAAAACTGCCCATCTATCGATTGTCCATATCCAGTAGAACTGCAAGGAATAAAAGCTTATTGTATTTTTTGATTTTGTTACGTATTTTGCTGGTAGTTTTTATTGGTAATTGCATTTCTCGTGTGTTTTATTATTTAATCGTAATAATTCCACTTTTGTTGATCTTCCTGGTTGCTCGCTTGCATGTGCATTTGTAACTGTACGTGTGTATGTATATGCATGTATAAAGTTTTGTTTGGGTTGCCCCTTTCCAGAGTAGTTCATTGCACAAAGCGAAACAAGAGAGGAATCACATTCACATATCGTATCTGACAAATTACAAATTGAGAGATAAGTTTTTCATATCCATATATGCATGTATCTGTGTGTATTTATTTCAAGGATACTTTCATAGATTAAGTTGCTTCCATTTTGTTCAGTTCATTCATTGTATTGCTAAGAATGGGTTTAGCATGGAGCTACTCGCCAGTAGCTGCCCTTTATCATGGCAAATAAAGTGCTTCGCCCACCCATCCATCACTAGGAAATTTGTTCGAGTTCTATGGGTTCTTTTGAGTCTATTGGGGGGGCTGGCGGTTAGGGTAGGAGTGGAGTGGGCTGGGTTCGGTTCGGATTGGGGATGAATTTTCATCATGATTTCTATCGATTTCTAGTTGTCTGTCTATACTCTTCAGTTAGTTATTTTGATCTTAAATTAACACTAAGTTGCTTTTGCTTTGTTTTGTTTCGTTTTGTTATTCTTTCGTTTAATGTGTATTAATTACATTGATAATTAGTTTATTTATAATTTCTGTTCGTAAACATTTTACATGATAGGATTCTTGCGTGTGTTTATTCATGTGTGTTGTGTGTATGTGTGTGTCTGTCTGTATAGATTTACGTGAGTTCTTTTCCGTATTTTGCTACAACAAAAACTATGCCTTACAATAATACTTTAGTTACAAGTTTTATTTTATTTTATTCATTTTCATCTTGCTTGCATAAATTTCCCCTGCGCTCTTCATGCGTCTTTTTCTTCTATACTTCCACTCATCTCTCTCTCGCTTGCATAACTAAAAACAATCAACAAAAGGAGTTAAGTTCAAATAAATTTGTTTTGCAACTAATAATTATTTATGTATATGTTTAATCTAGATACGTATATTTAAAGGGGGGTAGGGGATGCGGGGGCTAGGCTTGGGTAGAAGGGAGGCAAACGACAACTAAAATTAAGCCTTACACATTACGGGGGGTTGGTGTTGGCGGTGTGTGTATGTGGCGGGATGCGGGGAAAGGGAGGAATAAAAACACTAATTACAAAGCGATATGGCAACACTTTTCGTGTGTCTGCCAGTGTCACCACACACACATGGCGTGCCCAATCCTAGCGCTCGATTGTTTTTTCTCTCTTGCATGCTTTTCCACTTCTTTCCGTTTTGTTTTTCCTTAAAATAACTAAAGAACTGTATAACCTTAAACCAGGCGTCTCTCTGTTCCGTTCCCTTAGGTCCGTCCGTCGGTCGGTCCGTCCGGTACGGTCTGCTGCTCCGTTGCACACATCTTAAAGCTATACACAAAAAGTTAAGTTGAATTGTATAAAGATTTCCTTCTTCTGTATTGATTTTTTTAACCAAGCGGGATGGCGTGCTGGCATCGGCAGCAGGATCAGGTCTTGAAAGTTCGCCTTAGACGGACGCAGTCCTACAATCGAATCCGTCTGCACTCCCGCTCCCACTCCGGTGAAGCTGGGCCGTTGGGAGTGCCCTGAGCTGGGTGTCAACAGACCACCACATCCACGTCCACGTCCACGTCCACATTGCTCTGTCGGTTGTCAACAATTCGTGTAGACGCCTTGTGTGTAGTACAACTCCGTGATGCGCTCCGGCAGGGTGCTGTACAGATTGGTGATCAGATCGAGCGGCAGGCGGGACCACGCCTCCTTGATGCGGAATATCAAGTCGTCCTTGCGCGAGAATTTTCGCCCGCCGTCGAACACCTCTCGGATGAGCCAGCCCCAGATGTTTTCCATAATGTTGAGGTCGTGCGCAATGGTCGGCCACTTCTGGGTCTTCAGACCCTCGGCATTGAGCAGGTCCTGGGCCGTGGGCAGTGCGTAATGAATCCAGTTGTGATCCTGCAGAACAAACTCTGTGCCGCCACCCAGTTTGCTGATGATATTGGGTCGCTCACGCATAACGATCTCGATGCAGGACTCGGGACGCAGCTTGGCCGACGAGACCTCCAGATGGAGGGCTCCACCCACACAGATCATCAGGTAGATGTAGACAGAGTTGCCTCGCGGCCGCTGCGACAGAGTGCGCTCGTAGTTCCTCAAGTCGTGAAAGTAGTAGGAGAAGCCGTCGGGTCCGTCCAGGTTAAAGCGTCGCTCGTCGTGGAAAACCACCCGTCGCCAGTGCTCCTCGCTCCACACGATGTACGTGTTGGCGAAGTTGAGGCGCTCCGTCTGATTGTACTGGGAGAGTGAGGGCTCTGTTTTCAGCTTCTTGGCGCAGTTCGTTGAGCTGGAGGAAGAGGCTGACGAGGAGCTCGACGACGCCGACGAGGAAGAGGAGGAGGAGCTCGATGACGAGGACGACGTGTTGGCATTGCCGGCGGCCGTGGCTCGTAGTAGAGCGTTGGCAGCGGCTGCAATGTTACTGCTGTTTGGTCCGCCCACTGCCGCGACCCTTTGGATGATGGTGGGTGATACACTGGAGCCGTTCGACTGCTGTGTAGGCGCATGACTGGAGGCTGTTCCACCCGTACTGGAGCTGGCCGCGGAGAAGTTCGAGTTCTGGTTCAGTGCGTGCACGGGCAGATGTGTCTGTGGCGGTTGCTGGCTCTTCAGAGGTGCGTGCGGATTGCTGTGGCTCATCTGTGTCTGCGGCTGCAGCTGGGGCTGCGTCTGTTGGTAGTACGGATGGTGGTAGCTGATGTGTTGCTGGTGCTGGTGGATTGTGGGCTGTTTCAACTGCAGCTGCTTTAGTTGTGTCTGCGACTGGGCCAAAAGCTGCTGCTGGTGCTGATGCTGGTGTTGGATCTGATGCTGGACCGAGGTGGCGCTGGGCATCTGCTGTATTCCCGGATGCTTCAGATAGTAGTGCAGTGCCATTAGGTTATTGGCACTGGTCTGCTGTGCTGTGCTGGTAGGGACTTGAACGACTGTGGAGTTGCCTAGGCCGCCACCGCCGGCTACTAGCTGCACTGTGGTGGTGTTCGCTCCCCCCGGCTGCTGACCGTGCACGGCTGCTGCCGCCGCCGCCGCTGCTCCAATCGCTCCCGCACTGGCGGCCAGCTGGGCCGCTGACTTTGGGTCATAGATGAACTTGTTAAAGTTCTGTAGATCGTCCGGACTGAGCACGATCGTTTTCATTTGGAGTCTGTTTGATGATAAGGATAACGATTCAATTCGCTGAGTTTCAGTTGAGTTTACGTTTGTTTGCTCATGGATTTATTCCTTTCCTGGTGTCTTGCTTAGTGCTATCCAACACTGGTTTTACGCCCCCACGCGTACTGGCTATGTGGCAACGCTGGGCAAATGCAGTTTGGCTGGGACCGAATGGGGGTCTCTCACACTTTTTGGAGCTTTGATTACGCACGCATAAACGCTCACGCACTTTCCGTTAGGCCTGGCTTGATTTCCAAATGCGTTGTGCGTGTTCGAGTTTTTGGTTTTGGTGTTGGGCAGCAACCTGTCCCGTCTCCGATCTCACTGTGAGAGGTTTGTTCTCTCTCTCTCTCTCGCTCTCTTTCTGTGCCTCCGTGCGTTATCAAAGGGCTGGCCCGATCAACTGTGAACGAACACTCTCTGGGGCTGCTTGCTGTCTTCTTCTGATTGCAAAACTCTCTGCTCGTAAAAAGATGTCGGTTTACTTTCCCACCGTCAACCGAGCACGTACAATGCTTCGTCTCTCTTTCCACTCATGTGTGTGTTGAGTGAGCTGTATGGGTGTGTGTGTGTGTGAGCACTTCCAATATGTTATCCTCTTTTGTTGAAGTGGTTTTTCTTGTCGTTGCCTGCCTGCCTGGCCTGGCCTGGCTGCTGCTGCTGCAGTTGCTCGGATTGCTGTGCAAATGTTTCCTTGTTTCTTTATTCTGCGTGCTCTGCTGCTCGCTTCGTGCTGCCGCTGCTGCTCTTAGTTATTCCGTTGTCGTCGACGTTACCTGGAATAAAGTAAAGCAGGTATGTGAAAAAGAGTCTTGTTTCACACTTTGCATTGTATGTGCTTGTATATATGCTGTATACATACTGTGCATGTATGCCTGTATGTGTGTGTACTTGCACATTCACACAGATGCAGCCGAAAACATGTATTCAATAATTTTTTGGCTGGTGAAATCAAGAAACCAAAATGTTCGGAACATCTGTTAAAAATGCTCAGATTTCAGGTCTCGGGTCTCGTCCCTCGATTCTTTAGCAGAAAGTAAATAAAAGGTCGCCCTGTGGCCTATCCGTCTTTCTACATGTCTGCTTGTCCTTTTCTCACCGCCTGTATGTCGGTGCCTTTTGTATATTCTCTTTTAACACGAAATGAGAGCACACACACACACTTACACGCAAGTGCAGTTTTTGGTTTGCAATTTTATTATTTTGGAAATTTTAAGCAGTATCAACTCCGTCCCGTCCGCCTATATCTCTTCTTCGCGTCTCTGTTTACCTTTTGTTTTTTATTTTTCGTTCTTCTTTTCGTTTTTGTTGTGTCTGCTCCTTTTCAGTTTGGTGTGGTCTCATTTCTTGCGAAAATCGAAACAAGTGGTTGGAGGGTCAAAAGTACAGCACAAGAGAGAGCGCCCTATAGACGGACAGACAGAGGGAGAGAGAGCGAATGCAAGAGAGCAGGTGTTGCAGACCTGCAGTGAAATTACTTTAATCCTACAGTCTCGGCTCCAAAAATGTATATTCCTGGGATTTGTTTTCGATTGGAAATCCAAAAATAAGTTTTGCTGTTATTTTCATTTGTTTTCTTTTTCTATTTCAGAGGGCGCCGCGATAACGTTGCGGCCCCATCCCCGGATTATTTAGTACGTGTGTGTATTTGCCTTTATCATCTGACTCGAAAAATGCGACGAGTATGACTATGGGGCGATGACGACAACGTTTCGCTGGCCACTCGCACGCACATGCTCCACCTAGTAATCCCGGGAAAGGGCGGCGGCACCTATCTAACTAATCGCCTAATCGCATAATAAATTTCATTTCAATAAAATAGTTTTCCCAGTTACAAGCTGGTTTCCCTCGTCCACTCTCTTTCTCGCTCTCTCTCTGCCTCTACCTCCCTCTCTTGCTCTTTATGTTTTTTGGGAAATGGTAAATTTAATACGCATGTTTCTTGCCAGAGCATTCCTACTGCGATTTCTCAGTTATAATGAAATTAAAACTAAAGTCTGCTCTCGACGGGGATGAAAATCCTGTTTTTCGATTAAAGCAAGGGAAGAAAGCTGGCGATGCCGCCTCGACGGCTGCCGCAGGGCATTGTATCCGTTTCACTTCATCTACGTCGTGTATATGTGTGGCTCTCTGTATGTTTGGGGTTGCTGTGCGGATGTCAACTGAAGGACTCGGACTACTGCATTGTCGGTCGTTTCGGGTCGCCGTTTCTTGATAGAAGGCACTGCAGCTGTGCTATCGCAGTAGGTGCAGCTGGGGCCAAAGTTACACTGGTGTCTCGGGTCGCTGGTCAACGGGTCGAAAGTTCAACGTGGGAAGACCTACGATGAGTCGAACAGCCGACTGCTTGGGCAATGTTTCTCAAATGTGTAAGAGATGAAGTGATGTTTTATGCCAAGATTTTCACGAAATGATTTTGCAAGTGGACTCAAAGTTATTCCCCTAGTCAATGTGCACTGTATGTATCAATTTGGAGGATTGTAGACGTAACTTTCAAATCAGATCTGCCCTTGGGAGTTCTAGTCACATTGAAACGCTTTTATCAGTTGGCTCCACACAAATGCCAGATCCCTTATCGATGAATAATTAAATCAGTTTCTTGAGCTATGGTCCAACTCGATTTCCACGTATCATTTGATCTGGTAACTACTTTGATCCACACTTATTATTGTAGCTTTCTACGGATTAACAGCTGGCCCACAATCGATATCATTCTCCGCTCATTTTCCATGTCGATTAAATTCCGCCAGTGCATTCTTATGCGCAATTATAAGAAGTTGTAGATACGTACGGAGCACTGATTGATAGTTTAGCGAGTGTACACTCACACACACACACATACACACTCGTGATAAGATACCGCAGAAGGCAGCAAAGCAAGCTCAAATGGCACGAGAACCTTTGTTTTGTGTGAACTTTGGCCTTGCGTTTGTAAATGAACGCCAAAAACTGGTTGTACTTGGGTGAAACTACATATTCCGCTGCCGACGCTGTCGCTGATGCTGGTATCAAGCAATTTGTAGGAGAGCAGAGCCCTTGGAAACGCTGTAGGCATACAAGTTTTGGTTCGAAAAAGTGTCTACACTCTTACATAGGGTAGTACAATTTCGATCTGTTGGTTTTAAAGCTCTTAAGGAGGATTTTGTTACCATTGAAGTTTGTAGAGTCGAACAAAGCTTTCTCTTATTGATGAAATGTCCGTGTTTAGACGCAAGCTTTAAAGATATCTGTCGGGAGAGAGTATTGGCCCATTACACTAGAATTCCCTTTCATGGATTCTCGAAAAAAACGAAGACAACGGCGACAATCTAATCAATTGGCAAAGCATGCCCTTGTTAAGTTTCTTAATTAAGTTGGACATCTGTAAAACAATGACTAATCAAGTTTTAAGCAATTGACTCATGTTCGAGGAACTGTATTTGCTGTGACGTTAGCACATTTTCATTTAAACGTGATTCACATTCGGCATTAAGTGCGGTTTACTAGGAATATCAGGTACCATATGGGCTCACATTTTTTTAAGGTAACGCTTTCACTGGATTTCAATTTAACACGTATCCTTTCAACAACGGTCATTTTAAGCACATTTTATTTGGCAGCACTATTTTCATGAACCGCACTGTATGTGCTATGTATGTATGTATTGTGTGTTGGTGTTGCTGGCAAGCCCTATGACCAAATGGAAGTATTTCGTGGAATATTTCACAGTGGACTATGCTTTGCGGGTGGGGGATCCAATACGGTTGTGGCTGCACTCTCTGCAGTCCCCACATGCCCCATAGCCCCTACCGTTTCCATGGCTATACCCTTTCACGTTGTCGCGTCTCGCATTGCACTCGCCAGTTTCCCGTTACGTTGCATTCAAGGAGCCTGTTAGCTGCTCTCACACGCAGAGAGTGAGAGAGAGATGCATATGGGTATGGAATGGAGAGATGCAGACATGCATGAACATGTGTAAATATCCAAAAATATAAAACGAACCCAACGACCGAACGAACGAAACGCTCGACGTAATAAAATCCCTTGCGCTCTGCGGACAACGACGCTAGCTGCTCAGCCGCTGCGCAGCCACATGCTTTTTTATATTTATAAATTGAGCCAGCCCTTATGTGCTGGCTCTGCTCGCTCACGGCTATTTACAACAACACAACCAGTCGAACCAAGCATATACATACATACAATATTGTCTCTATGTCCGAACATGCGTGCGTGTGTTTGTGCGCGTCGTGTTTTTGTGATGCCATCGCGATATTGAAAGTACATGTGTACATACAAATCTACACACGCGCGCACATATATATATGCAGGTATGTATGTACTTATATATCAACGTACGTTGAACGAGAATCGAATCGCGTTGAAAACTGCTTGTGTTTGCGAACAACGGGACGATCTGATACGAAGTGCTTCTTTTTTCAGTTAATTCTTTATACGTACATATGTATATATGCGAGTATGTACGTTTATATGCATCATTTTCTTTTTTTTCACGGAACAAATATGGCTGCACAATAAAAAGCTTTGCTTACGCTGCTTTCCTCACAATTTTTCACTGTATAATATTTTTTCCTCTATTTGGCGTTTTTTATTAAAATTATTGCTGACTTGCTGATTGGGTATCGTTTATTCCGTTAACGTTGTGTTTGTTGGTTTGCTTTTGGGTTTGAGTGCGTGATTACGCCATTTTCTTTACTGCTGCTGCTGCTCCCTCAGCACGCCCATTTCACATTTACCTTTTCGCTCGAAATTTGGATATTTTGTAAATTTGCACACGCGTACACTGCCTGGAACGTGTAATATTTTGAGTTTTTCTATCAATTCACTGACTTATCTATCCGTACATTAAGCATTAGGATTTTTAGTAATTTTCTTTTTTTTAAATGCGATGGTCGCACGACGATGAATCGGCATCAGTGACATAGGGTAGTCAAATTATATATGAAAGTATCAATATATCGATATTAATTTTAAAAAAATATATATTTATATCGTGATTTTTTTTTCTCAAAATATCAATATATTGATATGTTTTTGCGATATTTTTTGATATTTCAATCTAAATGTAAATAATAATATGAATAAATATATAGGGTATATTGTATTTGTGCACAAAAGTGGATGTATGTAACGCACAGAAGAAAATGTTTCCGACCCCATAAAGAATATATATTCCGTTGTTAGTAGCATTGATCAGCATCATTAACCGAGTCGGTATGGCCATGTCTGTCTATCCGTCTGCCAGTCTGGCTCAGAGACTATAATAGCGAGAGCCACCGAATTTTGCTCCAAGATTGCTGCGATAAACACAAGAAAAGCTTTATGGTAGCTATTTATTTCCGATGCGCATGGAAATGAATTATAGCAAATATATTCAAGCAAAAATATATCAAATATATTTTTTTTCCAAGAAAAATATATCACCGATATGATATTTTTTAAAAACTTGACAACCCTACAGTGACAATCGACACCAGTGCCAGTGTGACCGCGGAATTATCGATACAATATACCGTGAGACCCGATCGACCCGTCGATGTTTATGTTCTAGTTGATATTACTAGCTGGTTTGGATTCTCAGCGCTATAATTAGAAATATATCCAATATATCACTCGATTCTCCACAGGAATGGCTAGCTATTCCTAAGTTTTGGTTACCACAATTTCTAGTTTAATTGTTCTGTTTTAAAAATGTTCGATGTTTTAAAACGTCGATGATTTTGCAGCTTCATGGATCAGTGTGACCGCACACATATTCATCAAATATACCGCATTACCCTCGAAAAGATACCTTAATAATATATTGGCATTTTAAAATTTAAATATGTAGCGTAAATATGACGAAAACAAAAACAGCTATCTTGATTTGGTTGTTCCATTGAACATTACCAGCTGGTTAGGATTTTCAGCGCTTAAACACAGTTGTTAAATAGACGGGAGATGGGATTTTCAAAAACATGCCCAAGAACCTACAAACTACTTTTCGATACTTGTGATGGCAGTGCTGTAAAACGTAAAACGCTAAAGTCGCTGATCTGGCAGCACTGATTACCGCGTGAATTTCAAACTCAAAATCTTGTAGTTTCTAAATTGTAAATATTTCCTGATGGTTTTTCTTTTTGGAATAAATTCAATCCCAAATGGATTATACCATAAAAAGACACACTTTAAAGTTCGTATTCTGCACAATAACTCCCTTTTGATGAACTACAATACCCGAGTACGTCGTACCTACCGCAGTTGCTGTTGCAAGTATTAAAAAAACACACACAAATACAACAACAACAGAAACGGCAACGGCACCTTACATAACAAAATGGTAAAGGCGTTGAGCCGAGACCCAGCAGACAGGACAGGACAGCCGGAAAGCCATCAATGTGTGCTTCATTCAGCCCGGGCCCCGGACCCAACGTGTGCCGGGCTTCATCTGCGATAAGGGAAGTCGAACTGCACCTACCTGGGCGAGCAGCATGCACTGGGAGAAACCTTCCTTAATGATCGTGAACGGAATAACTGGTTTCGAAACATCGTTTCTGGCAGTGCACCAGCGATCTGCTTATCAATAATTTGTTTTGTTTTTCTCCTTTTGCTGAGAGATTCTCTGGCGATAGCAGCTCAAGTGTCACACGCCCACATTTTTGGAGCAGTCGAAGCTCGATGCTCGATGCTCGATTCTTGGACCAGGCACAGATCTCGGCAATCAGCTCCAACTGCGGCTATTTGCACATACGCCACGCCATTCCACGCCAATAAACTTGTACCCACCACAGAGGCACGCTTTGATCCTCATTCTCAGTCCTCATCTTCAGTGCTCATCCTCTCAGCTTTTTTTTCGGTCTTTAGTGGTCTCGAAGGCGGTCGGCACACGCTTGCGTTTGGTTTCTCCCCTCCGCTTTTGGCCTTTTCGCTCGTCTTTGGTCTGGCCGGCTCGGCGTGGCCTGTCTTGGCCTGGCCTGTTGCCTCTTGGCTTGGCCCCTCTGCGCATAAATCGGCGCGGAGCCACGACTCTGACTGCAACTCCGAGGCCGAGGCTGAGCGAGCGCCGGCGGCAATTATCGCGATGTGATAAACAAATATTTTGCATCTAAGGTAAGAAGCAAGAGGCTTTCCCGGCATTCTGGCGCTTAATTATGAACTCTGTTTGCACTGTGGATGGGCTTGGGGTTGGGGTTGGGGTGGGGATTGGGGCTGGCTGCCATTGGGCCTCAACGCGTGGCCGTTCTCCGTTCTTGTCTTCTGGGAGGTTTGTCTTTTGGGCTTGGCTGGGCCGCTGCCAGCAGTTGTTGCAATATGCAATTTAGAAGCTTATCTCCAGCTGGATACCAATCGCCTGGCCGTAACCCCCGCGAGAGTGGGTGGAGAGTGAGCTGGGAATTAAATATGGCTCTATTTTGGAGGGGAGTGGGTTCCTAATTTTGATGGAAATATCAAAGATATCTGCCATTCGGACCCCCTGGTTGGGCCATATCTGTATCCAACACCCTTTCCCCCAGATGTTCCGCACATTAAAATATTTGCATACGTTTCCATGGATGTATGGGTGACAGCTCATGCACATGTATGTGTGTATCTGTGCACACACACATACATACATGGGGAACGACATTGGAGTCTCCACCAATTGAAACAAACCAAATGCAAAGTCGACTCTCCCACAACAAATGGAACGGGAAACAGGTTTTCCACCTCAGAAAGTGAGACTCGAAGCTAAGACGCTAAATCTGGCTAGAGAGCGGGGCTCCAAGTCAAAGAGAGAGAGAGAGAGAGAAACGAACGAATATTAAATAAAGTTTGTTTCATTCGATTCAAAAGAACTTGCCGCTCTGGGAGCTCGACTTTGCCTGGCCACTGCCACTGCCACTTGCCTCTGACTTCGACTTTAGCTGAGACTCTAACAGCGACTCCCGACGCTGTCTCTGGCTCTGCCTCGTTCCGCTTTGCTGAGCAGCTGCCACTCTCTGGCCGCTCTGGCTCTGGGCCAAGACTGCGCGAAAGGTTTTGCTCGTGCGCTTTTAGCTTTTCGCTTTTTGGCCTTATGCATCGATACCGACAGAGGCAGAGGCAGAGGCAGAGGCAGAGACTGAGGTAGCGACCCAACATCCACATCCACATCGACATCGCAGCGGGTTCACCTCTGAGAGAGCGTCGGGCAGTGGCAGAGTTTAGTTGCTTTGCGGTTCGTCATCAGCGTGGTTCATCAGCTAGGCGGCTCTCTAGCTTTAACTCTGTCTTGTCCCAAGCTCCGTTCCCATTGACATCGGCATCGCATTCGCCATCTCGGTCCACGTCTCCGTCTCCGGTTATAATCATAAATATATCTACATACAGACTGGCCTTTCCCCTTGCCATCGCTGCGAGTATATAGGCCCAGTTCTGTTGTGGTGCTGTGCATTTTCCCAAGAGTGCGATTGTATCTGTGTGTTTCTCGGTTTCGGTTTCGGTTTGTGAAATGCTGAAGCCCTTGATTTTAAGCAACAGATACGCTCATTAGTCGCGTCCCCGTACCAGAGGCCTGCCAGGAGGTACCTCCGTGTGAGTCCCGAAATTGCACCGATCCATCCGCGAGTGCACAGAGTGCGAAAGTGTCCAAGCCATTAGTCGATTGCAGCATTGCAAAGTCCCAAAACCAAACCATATGTATGTGGGTTAGGGTCTAAACCAACAATAAAAAAAAACAAAACCAAATCCGCCAGCGAAAAGGCACAGAATTCACACAGACGGATAGACAGACGGATAGACCCTGGGACTGCCGTCAGTGGCGACAACAACGTATGAGTAGATTTATGGTTGGAACTGTAACTGGGCAAAATGCTTGGCCCAGCCACTGCCATCGTGCCACCAGCGAACGTACAACCCACCGAAGTCTAAGGGAAAAAGCTAACGGAATAATGCAACATTAAGCAAAATGCTGCTGGCCCTGCAACAGCAAAGACCCCTACAACACCAACACTTGCAGCAAGAGCAAGAGCAAGAGAAACAACAACCTGCCAGCGTCAACATCAACATCACCCACACCAACAACAACAGCAATAGCTCCAACAACAACAACAAAAATAGTAGCTCCAACAACAATTCCAACGTTTTCTACAACAACACGAAGATTTTCTTCAACAACATAGACACCAGCAACAACAACAACAACAACAACAACAGCTCCAACAAATACCACAGCAACAACAATTGCAATAACAAGAACAACAACAACAACAGCAACTTTTACAACAACAACATCACCGTCACCGTTACCACGAGCGCCGTAGTCACAACCGTCACCGTCACCGTCGTCGTAGTCGTCGTCGCCGTTGCTGTTGCTGTTGCCGTATAAAAATGGAACCCTCATATGATCACGAACATCCACATCATCTGCTAACAAATTACAAGTAATATTTACATTTTTCCCATGCTAAAGTTTTTTTCTCGCTGTTTAATTATATCCAACCGAAGCGAAGATACATATCTTCAAGATAATAACCATAATGAAAAATGGAAAGAGTGCGCCAGTAGTGGTGAGGAAATTCTCTAGCTCTAGCTCTAGCTCTAGCTAGCTCTCTCTCTCTCTCTCTCTCGGAGACCGGGCATATACATATGCATATACATATGTATCCATCTATGTACACATAGCCCATGACTGGGGACTTTTTCAAGACTTGATCGCACACAGCCACACCACCAGCTACAGAGATACACTGAAAGCGGGCACGACAGTCAGAGGCCGACGGGGATTTCAAATGCTCAGAGCGGTACATGGTACATGGTACATGGTACATGGTATATAGTGGCTATATATAGGGCCTGAGAAGTTGCTTAGATTTTCCTTAGCGGGGCACCAGCACTTGCACTTGTGTCTGTATCCGCTTCTCGCTCCACTGTACGGGTTGTTCTCCACTCCACTCCTCTCCATTCCACTCCTCTGCTCTGCACTCCACCACGAATATGTAAATGGATGGACGAGAATAACTTAAGAACGTCTTCGGACGGGGCTCGAAATTGGTCAAGTGGAAAGTAAACCAAGAGACCGACCGACCGGGCGATGTCCGAACGCGGGTGGCGTTTCTCGGAGAGCGCCCTGGGAAAATGTGGGCACGCAGAGGAGGGCAAGTCCGAAAGAAGTTTTAACTTTTTCGGGCCAGAGGTCATGCGGCTTTGATCATTAAAAAGATTTAGCTCCGATCTACACAGCTTGATAGCTACGCATGAGATTTTAATGGCAGTCTATATACTACAGCCATATATAGGATGTATATTCATAAAGTATCTGGCTGACTGATTCCGCGGCTTCCGACGGGAAACTCTCGGCTACAAATTGGCTGAAATTATGAATGGAAATGAAGCCATGAAATGAAAAATTAAGTACAGATGAAAACGATTTGATAAATACCCACAGAATTCGAAAGACATTTGGGAACGTCTAAGCGTTGATCTTGGGCGAAAGCTTGTCGCATTTTTCATCACATTGTTGGAATCTTCCTGTCGGAATTGGCCACAAATCAATTCGGTTTCATGCGAAGCGGTGCCATTCAATTTGATCTCTGCTCGGGCAGTCACATAAATCAAGCCCAGGCATCGCGATCTAACCCCAAACTCTGCCAACTCCAGGCTCAATCTAAATCGTTTTCCACATACAAATCAAATCAAATAAAATAAAATCCAATGAGCCATAAACAAGCAGCTGTATATGTGGATTTCCCATCAAGTTTGGCAATTAATTAAGATTTCATTGGATCACGGGCCTTGGGCCATGGCTGTGCGGAGGAAATCGCTGTGTTTATTCGTTTCAAATTCAAATCGAAAATCCTATTTGTTGGCAATTATAACCCCGATGCCTGACAAGTAAATATGGAAATTGTGTGACGTCTTTATTGAGACACTCGCGGACATGCCTGATGCGATGCTGCCTCTTCTCTGGAGTTTCCCATTCCACACAGGAACTAAAACTACTCACTGACGTTAAGGCCATTCCAAAAGGTGTTTTCCTGGAATCTTTCTCTCGCCTATCGTGCCTGTAAATCCACTATCCACTAGCGACAATTGAAATTGCTAATTAGAAGGGAGCTTTGAGGAGTTCTACGGAAGTCCATGAACATTAAACATGTTTCATTGGTTTATTTTTAAGGGTCTTAGTAGTTATACGAACCTAAATGCAGAATGGATCTGCCAATCAATGAAGAACCATCAAAGTGCAGTTGGTTAGATCAAAGTACTACCATTCAGCCAACTAGTTAATTATAAGCTCTTCAATTAGACCTGTGAAGGTATTTTCTGTATGCCAAATGCAGTAAGATCCGGTGTGGGAGTCGCCCGATTGCGAAAGGCCACTAATTTTTCGGACTGCCTTAGTACAGATCCTCCATGCAGCATGTGCAATTACTCTACTTATTCGGATATGCATGAACATGTGGAATACACCTCCATTTGCAGGCCAACCAATTCATATAATTTAGGGCCGCTCAACCTGCGAGGGAGTCAGCCTCATTCAAGTGTGTGTGTCTCTCTCTCTCTCTCTCCCCCCTGTGTGTGGGTGCGGGTGTGTTGGTGTGTTGGTGTGCGTGCTAAAATCCATTAAGTTTTTGTATCTTTTTTATGCTCTTAAAATCGCTTGTGTGAGAACTGGGTCTTCGCCGTTTCTTTGGCGGAGAGACACGATGGATCGGTCGGTCGGTCGGGTCGGGTTGTGTCGGGCGAAGACAGCAGCAATAAACCTCATTAGCCGAACGAATCCGAAGAGTGATGATGATGATGATGATCGCTTGCTTCATTAGTTTAATTATGTGGCCATGGGGCCCGGCCCTTATGTGTATCCCCCATGCACACATGTATGTACATATTTTTATTTATTTGCCTCCATTTTCACAGTGCGTACAAGATTCGATCCCATTCGTTGGCACAGCACAGCACAGCACAGCACAGCACAGGTAGCACGTTGGCGCGTACCTTTTGCGCTTCATTAAAGCTAAGATGGCGGCTCCTCGTGCCCGGATGCTGCTGAGGCTGTTTATGCTTATTGGTTGGTCAGCAGCATCTACATACAAGCACACACACTGTTTGTACATTCATGCATATGTATGTATGCGTAAATGGCCGACCGACCGACCGACAACTCATCGCTGGGACCCAGGGACGGGGCCTGGCAACTGCGTCGTTAAGTTATTCAAGTACATCACACCTGGGCCACAGCCGCCGTTGCAGTCGCAGTCGCAGTCTCAGCCTCAACTGGAACTGGAACTGGCCGAAACCAGTCTTGGCCTCTGCTGCTTGCCCTCTCTTCTGTAAGCCACAGAAATCTGTTGGCTGTTGGCTGTTGGGAACAAATGTATTCGGTCCGGGGCGCCTGCATCTGCAGCAGCAGCAGCCAGCAGCCAGCAGGCAGCAGGCAGCCAATAGACTGCAAATGGAGCAAATGGAGAGCCAAGGCAGATGCCTCTGGCCACACCCACCTCTGCCTCTGAATGTGCCCGAAAACCAAAATGGCTTTTATTACCTTGTCGCACCGCTTACAAAGCGGCCAATGCGATCGCTGTCGAGGCGCCAAATGATTTGCCAAAAACTTACCACAGATCCAGGATATGAGTAGCCAAGGGTAAAGGGTTGGCTAAATGAAGAGACTGTATATAGATGTTGATAATTGTAGCTGGAATTACATTCTTAAGTTTGTTTTATGCAAATAATTGATGATGAATATCCCGAGAGAGAGAGAGAGAGAGAGAGTGAACACCTGCTACGAATGTGTTATAATAATCTGTAATAAAATGGAAAGCCAACAACTCTCCAAGTCAAACGATCTCATGATCGTATAGATTATTCAAAGCACCATGAATATCCACAGCTGAGAGAATATCTTGTGTCTCCTTCCCTTTCCCTATCCAAATTATGTAGAGAGAAAAGCGGAGACAAATCTGTCCAACTGTTGTCAAGACCACCATTAAGCATTCCCTCGGGTCGCAGGACTAGACAAAGGTAGTGACAGCTCTAACTCTCCCTGGAACTGTCTTAATTACTGTCCCATTTGCTGCAAATGCCGGGATGTCAATCGGAGAATATTTTTCTAAAATTGGCCAGGAATATGGAAAATAAATAGATTAAGGGGAATGCGCTGCCCTTACTGACAATTGTCTTGCCAGCCCATGGTCTGGTATTTGTATCTGTATTCATATCCCATGATCAGTGGGCAGGGGCATTGGGGCATCTGGGAAGGGAATGGAATGGAAGGGAAAGGCTGTCTCGAGCAGCGTCACATGAATCACAATATGCTAAAGCGCCTGACACTCTCCAGATCAATGCGGCTTCGGGCCTGCAGCATGGCTCCTGAATGGAGTGGAGCTTCGAGGCTTGTTAAAGGGAGGAGTTGCCTACTTATGTGGCAGCCAGGCGGCCAGGCGGCCAGGCAGCCCCTTCCTCTGGCAGCAGCCACCAGAGAAGTTGCTCTTGTCGTAAACAAAACGTTCCAAAGTCCCCAACTCGGCGGCGGACATCGAGTACTTGGACAACGGACAGGGGCTTGTGGACAGGGGACACTGGACGATGGACAACGGACAGTGGACAGCGGAAAGGGGTACTGTGGCCAGACAGCAGTGCTGGGACAGAGCGGCTGGCCGCAATGTGGAATATGTGGCATTTTGCAAAGATGTTGACATTTTGCGCGCATAAAAATGCCAACTTACCGGCCACTGTATGTGTCCTATTTTAAAATCAGGGCCATGGCTAAGCAGTCCTCCAGCAGCAGGCTTGTGGCATGGGGCATGGTGCAGAGCTCAGGCTTAAGCTGTAGCTTAGCCACATCTGCAGGAGCTTCGTGGATCGTGAGCGCGCTTAGGATAAAGCCAGACTCCGACTCCGACACAGACTCAGAAACAGAACCGAAACCGAAACGAAACCAAACGAAACGAAGCCGACCAGACACAGTCGACAGTTTTGGACAGGTTGGACAGCGGGCCGACAGTCGGACAGTCGGATGGACAAACAGACGAATGGACGTACGGTGAGACTCGGACGGTATAATTTTGTGTGGTGCCTGCGCCCCTTTGGAGCGGTGGAACGGTGGAACGGTGGATCGGCAGATCGGAGTATCGGCGTATCGGCGTATCGGCGGCGGCGAAGTATTTAGCGGCCGCAGCAGCCGCGGCAGCCGCAACCGAATATCAAAAACGTAACGACGTCACCGAAAACCCTCAATAAATTATCGAGACTTCATCCCGTGGCTGGACTTGGAGTGGAGTCGAAGCGAGTCGAGTCGGGGGTCTGGCATGGAGGGCATGGGTGGGGTACAGGCTGGCCTAACTAAAAATTTGCAACTTTGTCGGCATTGTCAACGAGCTGTGCTCCGGCTGGTGCTGCTCCTGCTGCTCCTGCTGCTGCATCGAAGAAAGTCCACGGAACTAGAGCGCCTAGTTGTGCCAGAGACAGAGTCGAGAGTCGAAAGCCAAGAGTCGAGGGCTAACAATTAGGCCCAGAGGTTGTAGGTAGGCAAAAGAGGCAGCAGCCTGAGCTCTGGGCTCTGGGCTCTGTCTCTGAGACTACCGCTTTGGGGCACACAATAGACCAAAAGTGTAGTGGGCAGCAATAAATTCAAACGGTAACAAATCGAGGAAGCAAGAAAAGGGAACGGAACGGAACGCATACTGAAACCGAAACAGATCCCAAAGGAGCGAAAGGGAGATCGGGCATCGGGCATCGGGCATCGAGAGAATCGAGATCGGGAGCTTTGGCAATATTTAAACTTGTCTTCGGATCTGCTCTCCATGCTTCGCCCTCTGCCTGAATTCTTGGAAGGCGAATTACTTTGAAATGTGTCGATATGTCGCAAGTTTTAAAAGTTATGCATAAAGGTCCAAGAACCTGGTCCAGACCAAAGGGCCACAGCCACAGTCTCATTCCCAGTCGCAGTTTCAGCTTCTGCTGCTGGCCCATGGCCCATGGAGCTGTGCTGCAGCTTCTTTGCTTACTCCGACTCGACTCGGTGGCTTGTTGGAGTCGGTGCGGCCTCCTTTGATAATACAATAGCTGCACGCGCCCAATTTACATTTATGTCCGCTGACATTAAGGAGCGCACCGCAGCACCGCAGCACCGCAGCATCGCGGCAAGGGATCCATGCGGAGCCCAGTTCCAGTTTCAGTTTCAGTTCTGTTTCTGTGTGTGTTTGTGTGGTGTCTCTTTGGTGTCTGATAAATGCAAAAAGTTCCACAGATCTTCCTCCTTGCTCCCTTCTCTCTGTGCGTAGCAGCAACGCGAAAATTGTCATCGTATTTAGCAGCCGTTTTAAATATCATTATAGGGAGCGACATTGCGACGGCTGTACGTAATTTCCTGCAGTAGCCCCCGGGGACATTGATTAACAATGATCATGAATGCGATGCACAGAGTGCGGTTGCGACTTGTTAGAAGGGGAACAACGATAACTCCATCATGTGCGTGGTCCACATATACTGGGTGCTGCGGGATTGGTTTGGATATTTGTAGGGCTTGCTAGCTTGAGGAGTGCCAAAAGAGTTATATTAGCTTCAGTTTAGTGACTCCCTTTTGGGTAACCAACAATCTACCAATCCAAAAGAATATCCCAACTTATTTGCAGCTCGAAAAAGTATCCACACATCTCGCGTACGCCGGAGTATAGCCACTCGACGGGCAGCGATTACCCGGAGCATGGAGGCTACTTGACCACAGATGGCCGGTTGATGCACGATGGTTCGGCCGGCGAGTCGGGCCTTTATCATGTGCGCCAGGGCAGTGAACACTCCTCGCCCAGCCTGCACTCCCCAGCCATACAGAGCGCCGGCTACGAGAATGAGCACTCGATGAACGAGGCGGTGCACTCGGTGCACAGCCATTCCCCGATGCCCATGGTGTCGAGTGGGTATGTGGGCGGAGGAGGAGGCAGTGCGTCCGGGTCGCTCATTAGCAGCAACATACCGCTGCTGGGTGGCGGCGGCTGCTCCTCCTCGGTGCTGAACAAGTTTCTGTCGCATTCGCATCCGGGCATGGTGAGTGGCGGCTCCATGGAGGAGTGCGCCTCCCATTCGCCCATCGAGACGGCGTCCATGTGGAGCTACGACTACAAGGGCGACCTGTGTGCCCCCAACTGTGGCTACCTGGAGCGGCACAAGCCCATGGCCACCGACCTCAAGTACAGGCCCGGCGCAACCCAGTCAAAAAGTGCCAAAGAGTCGCGCATCCGCCGGCCAATGAACGCGTTCATGGTGTGGGCCAAGATCGAGCGCAAGAAGCTGGCCGACGAGAATCCCGACCTCCATAACGCGGACCTCAGCAAGATGTTGGGTGAGTGTGAAGTCCCTCCCCATACCTGTTGCATAGCTCTTCTAGGTTGCCAGGATTCTATGAGGAATCTGTTGTAATCTCTTCTTTTCTCTCCCCTGCTCGTTGCAGGCAAGAAGTGGCGCTCGTTGACGCCACAGGACCGCAGGCCGTATGTTGAGGAGGCTGAGCGCCTGCGTGTGATCCACATGACGGAGCATCCAAACTACAAGTACAGGCCGAGGCGCCGCAAGCAGTCGAAGCTGCGCACCATGCAGCCGGGCGGCAAGGATCAGGCAGAGAACTCACCTGCCGTCGGGGCAGGAGCAGGCAAGGCCACACCGAAGTTGTCCACTCCGCCGCTGTCCACGGCCACCGCCTCCTCCAGCTACACCACGCCCACCGACGACAGCAGATGCTCCTCCACGCCCCAGAATCCCAACCAGAACCAGAACCAGTACGAGCAGCCACTAAAGCCCACATATTCGCCGAGCTCTGTGGACTGCTACAGCAATGCGGACAGCACCGAGCAGATCGAGTCGCTGGCCGCCAATTGCCCACCCGCCCTGCTGTCTGAGTCCTCGCCCACGGGTGGCGGTGGCGGTGGTGGTGGTGGCAGCTACGACAGCTCCCTGCTGCTCAAGAAGCTAACGAAGCCGCCGACCAGTCGAGCCGCAAAGGCGCGACAGGATAAGCTCTCCAAGGCGGAGGACAAGAGCAAGGCACAGGCGCAGGCACAGGCACAGCAGGGACTGTACGCCGCCTCCTATCCGCTGGCACCCACATCGGTGGCAGTGGTGGCCGCCCGAGGCATGTACGTGACGTGCAACAATCGCGGCCTGCTCGACCACGGGCACTCCGTGAAGGGCACCTTCTATCCGCCAGTGTCTGCCTCGGAGGACGATGGCAGCACGATGCGCGGCAGCGTTGGCAGTGTGCTGCAGCAGCACTGCAACTTGGGCACGTCCACGGCTACGTCCTCCGCCTCCTCTGTGCCCGTGTCCGTCTCCGCCAGCGAGATGAGCGGCTACACGGTGTCCATGGCGGACAACTGCAGCAGCCTGCTGGGCGCCAATGAATATCTATCGAATCATCATCCCCACTCGAATCCCAGCGCCAATGCCTACGGCATGCAGTACGAGGACTTTCTGCGCTATCAGAGCAACGATCTGGACTACAGCGCCGCCGAGCAGCACAAGGACAATGCCTCGGACGGCTCCGCCTCCCAGAAGTGCCTCAAGTACCCGGACACGAACCAGAACTACGACGACTACGAGGCGGAGGCCTACAACAATGCCATGCTGCTGTCGGCACCCGGATCCGCCGGAGCGAGCTACTACACCCAGCTTCCATACGCTCCCACCGGTCTGGCTGCCTTTCCGCTGCAGCTGGCAGTGCCCTTCCAGCAGACGGCAGCTGGGCCCTATGGTGCGCAGCCCATGCAGAGCAGTTACCTGCACTACGGCAACTATGGGGGCTACGAGGGCATGGCTCAGACACAGACACATCCGCAGCAGCAGCAGCAGCAGCAACAGCAGCAGCAGGCCACGCATCAGACACCGCCAGCGCCTTCTGTGTCAGCGCCGCCTGCCCAGACAGTGACCTCGAACCCAGCAGCCATGCAACAGCATCCGCATCCGCATCCACATCCGCATCATCATCACTTTGGACCCGGACCAGGGGGCATGGTGGGTGTGGGAGTCGGGGAGATGCTCTTCGAGCAGCAGCAGCGGAAGGACGACGAGATTAGCAACATTCTGGCCGGAGTGCGCAAAACCTGCTACAGCAATTGATTCAGCAACGGCAGCAGCAGCGTGTGTGTATGTAATTTTTGATAACTAGAGATTAGTGAGTGGTTTAGGTTGTCCCCGAACCCTTTTTGAGCTTCCTTTTCCCCAACTCCCTTAAAGATTATAATCCAATCCACATAAATTGTACAATTTCTAGAATTTTTATAAAACAAAAGATGAATAAAGTGCAGTCGAAGTAATCGAATCGAATCGAATCACATTTGCATATCGATAACAATGTCATGGAATGCATCTTTGGGGTCCACAGTTAGGGGTGTGGAACGTGTCTGGACCATATGACAGCCACCCGATATATACTGCGAAATGGAGTCTGCGCAGTGGGCGCCAGCCATCATCATCAGACTGGAGTGTACAATTTTCTTTTCTCATTCACTGGCCAAACGATTTCTCACGTTACATAAAATTCAAATTGAAACTTTCACACGGATTTCCGCACTAGTTTTCGGCCTTTTCAGTTGGATTTGGACGGCAGCAGTGGGTCGAACCAGGATCAGGATTGAGATTGAGTGAGCAGGATGTGCAAGTATCTAAAAATTGCATGATAAACGTGTGCTCCATACGCACCATACGCCAGAGCGCCAAGTAGTCGAAATCGAAATCAATCAATCATCCACGCAAAATCTGAGACAAAATTCAGCTTTATTTCTAGATTGTGGTTATTCCGTAGTGTAATTCCAATTTGTGACCCATTGCGGAGGAGCTGGAACTCACTCTGCACTCCGATTGCAGCATCATTTGCATCGCAGGCATTACTCAGGCATAGGCAAAATCGATAAGCCTCAGGTCGAGCGCCTGTCTGCTTGACACCAACGCGGCCGCCGCCATCTGTCTCCACCCACTAACCATCCCTCCACACCACTCCACCGCAGTCCACTCCACAACCACCATCAGTGCTCTGTGTACGCTCGTAGCCCATCGCCAGCATCCACCATGTCATTCATAGCCAAATTGAAAGCCACGCCATTGCCGCCGCTGAAGAATATACTGAATGTGGCCGTGCAAACGGCTCGACAGCAAATTCCAGAGCGCAAGGAGTACGAGCAGCCGCCAGGCAGCAGCCAACAGAGGCCCCACCAGCCACCGCACCAGAACTTTGCCAACGGCCAGGCCATGGACACGGGCATGGACGGTGGCGACCAGAACACGGAGATGAGCTCGAATCCGTTCCGAAACACGGGCACCTGGTCGAATGAGGGCGATGGCGAGGGCGAGGGCGACTACAAGAACGAGTACCAGAGCACAACCTTCAATGAGTACGATGGCAGATACCAGCAGACGGACGGCTTCAGGTGCGTACCCAACAAATAACTTTCCCTTCCCGCAGCAGCCGTGCTCAATCCCATTCTTCCGATCGCTTTGCAGGCAGGGCAGCATCGCCTCAGAGGGCAGCTCGTTCGTCTGCGAGGGAGAAGGTGGCGGCGGCTGCAAGATCGATGAGTACCAGGCGGCATGGAACGTGACCAATGCCATCCAGGGCATGTTTATTGTATCGCTGCCCTTCGCCGTGCTCCACGGCGGCTACTGGGCCATCATTGCCATGGTGGGCATTGCACACATCTGCTGCTACACGGGAAAGGTGCTGGTGCAGTGCCTCTACGAGCCGGACCCTACCACCGGCCAGATGGTGCGAGTGCGCGACAGTTACGTTGCCATTGCCAAGGTATGTTTCGGGCCCAAACTGGGTGCCAGAGCCGTCAGCATTGCCCAGCTGATTGAGCTCCTGATGACGTGCATCCTCTATGTGGTGGTCTGCGGTGACCTGCTGGCGGGCACCTATCCGACGGGCTCGTTCGACTCGCGATCGTGGATGCTGTTTGTGGGCATCTTCCTACTGCCGATGGGCTTCCTCAAGTCCCTGAAAATGGTCTCGACCCTGTCCTTTTGGTGCACCATGTCCCACATCGTGATCAATGCCGTGATTCTCGGCTATTGCCTGCTGCAAATCGGCGACTGGGGCTGGTCCAAGGTGCGCTTCAGCATCGACATGGAGAACTTCCCCATCTCGCTGGGCGTCATTGTCTTCTCCTACACCTCCCAGATTTTCCTGCCCACACTCGAGGGCAACATGACGGACCGCTCCAAGTTCAACTGGATGCTCGACTGGTCGCACATCGCGGCGGCTGTGTTCAAGGCAGGGTTTGGGTACATCTGCTTTCTGACCTTCCAGAACGATACGCAGCAGGTGATTACCAACAATCTGCACTCGCAGGGCTTCAAGGGCATGGTGAACTTCTTCCTGGTCATCAAGGCCATCCTCAGCTACCCCTTGCCCTACTATGCCGCCTGTGAGCTGCTCGAGCGGAACTTTTTCCGCGGTCCGCCCAAGACCAAATTCCCAACCATCTGGAATCTTGATGGAGAGTTAAAGGTCTGGGGCCTGGGCTTCCGTGTGGCCGTCATTGTGTCGACCATCCTGATGGCCATTTTCATTCCACACTTCTCAATACTGATGGGCTTCATTGGCAGCTTCACGGGCACCATGCTCAGCTTCATCTGGCCCTGCTATTTCCACATCAAGATCAAGGGTCACCTGCTCGACCAGAAGGAACTAGCCAAAGACTACCTCATCATTGCCCTGGGCGTGCTCTTCGGCGTCATTGGCATCTATGACTCGGGTAATGCCATGATAAATGCATTCGAGATCGGTCTTCCATTTTAAGTTTTCCAATTTAACTCATCCACCAATCGAAGTAGATCCCAAGCTATTGGTCCCCTCGCGGGCATGGCATGTCTTCCAGGTGCTTCCAAGCATCATCTGGCTGTGCCCAAAAGGGTTCCAAAATGCTCGATCTATTCATCATCCAAAAACACTCGAAACGAAAACAATAATATTAGTTTATAAGAAACGAAACGAAACTAAATGAAATGAAACGCAAGTCTTCCAAAAAACAAGCGAACAAAATGTCTTCCAAACATGAATAATTATGATAAAGTTTAGAATAAGAGAAGCTATATATATACATATATATAATTATATATATATACATATACTTGAAGGAAAAGAGAAAATATTTATTGTATTAACGCGCATTACGAATTATAGAGAAATTGAAGAAATTTAAACTGCATAAACCATTATACAGATACGGATCTAAATGTATGTATATGTTGATAGATAGAAACAATCCATTGTGCAGATTTTTTTGTAACGTTTAAATATACAGTTATACCTATACATACCATACTAGTACATAAAACGACACTAGCATCTTTAAAACTCTCAATAAAGACATCATCTCTCCAGTTGATCCAAAACGAATTAAAACCCTTTTTGATTTGTTCGAAAAATGATATTTATTTGTTAATCTGGATTCTCGGATATAAAAGATAAGATACAAATATTGTCATGGAAACTTATACGTTAATATGGTAGGTAAATGGATGTGTTAGTGCTACACAGATATGTATGTGTGTCATTTAATTGTCGGTTAATGTCGATTAGTTTGAGGTCTTGAAGAACTTGTGTTCTTGAGTACTCCTGGTATGTTGGAATGCACCTTTCTTAATATTATGCACCGCACAGGTGGTGGTCGGGGCGCTGATGTACTCGCTCTTGTACTGACTCGATCCCGTGCACTTTGTGTCGCTGCCGAGGCTGATGGAAGACTGGTTGCCCCGCCGCGTGACCACACGCTCGGTGTGTCCGCCGTGGGCACTGTAGGAGGGAAATTCGATGCCGCCGCTGGAGCTGGACACATGATGGTGGCGCCTGCCATGGCCTCCCACATGGGTGTGAGATTGGGAGGGGAAATCGATGCCACCACCCAACACTTGGGTGCGTGTGATGGTTGATCTGCTGTCGGTGGCAGTGCCAGTGCCAGTACCTCCTCCGGAAATTATCCTTGACATGGAAGAAGAGTTCTTTGTGTTGCTCTCCCTGTTCTCCTTGTGGACACTGGAGCTGCGGCGCTCACTGGAGTAGCTGGTGTTATGGTCCGATTCCCGATTTTGCCTGTGGATGCTGCTGTAGCTCTGTCGATCGCTGCCATGGGCTGGTGTGCTGGAGGGCTGCTCGTGCAGATTCAGAATACTTTTCCGCATCATTTTGCCGTTTGAAGTTAGACTACTGCCATTGGCTGCAGCCGAGTCTGTGGCGACGTTCTTGCGATGGAAGATCGTGTTCGAGACATCAGCCTCTGAGGAGAACTCGCTCTTGCGGTGATGAAAATGCTTGGAGGAGCTCGTATGGGATGTAGAGCTGCCGGTGACAATGTTGTTGCTGCTGGAGGTCCTGCCGCCCGAGACGACTCGCGATGTTGAATCATCAGTCACGTTTTGCCCACCGGATACCACGCGGGACGACGAGTCTCCGGTGATATTTGTGGAAATGTTTCTGCCAGTCGACACGCGAGAGGATGAATCTCCAATCATGTTGCTCGAGACGTTCCTTCCGGACACCAATCGGGAGGATGAATCCCCAGTTATGTTGCTGGAGAGGTTCCCTCCGGACACCACGCGAGTGGATGAATCTCCAATGATGTTGCTGGAGACGTTCCTTCCTGAGACTACCCTCGACGTAGAGTCCTCGGTCATGTTGCTGGTGATTGTTTTTCCAGAGATCACTCGAGTTGTGGAATCCCCAGTTATGTTCGAGTTCGAGACGGTTCTTCCGGACACTACATGCTGGGAGCCGGTGTCTCCAGTGATGTGGCTGGTGATCTGGCCGCCACGATTCGTAGTGCTCGATTGGATGGCCCTGCTGGAGACATCCGATCCTCGGATCAGCTCACTGTTTACTGCAGTGTTCTCGACCACATTGTGGCTACGCTGCATCGAGGTGGTTTCCTTGTGGACGTTCTGGGTGTTTTCGATATTCGTCGTCGTGGTGTTCTTGGCCACATTCACATTCACATTTATCCTGGCTGGGCGTTTCACGTACTCGGTTTCGGGCTCCTTCTTGTGACCTCCTATCACAGTGGTCACCCTCGTGGTGGACACTACAATTAGACCATCCACTGGGTTCTGGCTGTCGGAGTCCACCTGCTTGACGGCATCCTTGCCGGAAACATAGTTCATCTGGTTGGTGGTCTTGCGGATGGCGGTGTCGGTTCCCAGGCTAATGGAGGAGCTGTTGTGCTGATACTTTTGTGTCCGCTGAACCTTCTCTACCGTGGTCTTGTTGGTCTCCTTTTTATTATAGTCATCCCTTCGGGTCACTGTCATGGAACCTTCCAGTTTAAGGTTATCCACCGGTCGCTTGGGTGTCTCTCGCTTTGTGGTTTCTATCGTGGTGCTATCGGTCTCCGTCCTATCGCTTCTTCTGTAGAATTCTCCCTCTGGCTTCAGGTTGTCCTTTGGCTTCTTTTGGATAGGTCGCTCGGCCGGACGGAATGGTTTCTTATCGGGTGTGAAGAACTCTCCTTCGACCTTCAGGTTGTCGCACGGCTTTACCTGCTCGGGCCGCTTCACACTCTGATACACGTCCTTCTGTGTGAAGGTCATTTCACCTTCGGTCTTTAGGTTATCCTTCCTGATTACTGTCGTCACCCTATCCGCCGGCCTGAACGATTCCTTCTCTGGCATGTGCATCTTTCCCTCTGGCTTCAGGTTGTCCACATACCTCTTCTGCTCTGGTCGGGAGGCAGGCTCGTATTTGGTCTTTTCAGGGGTGTACATAGCTCCTTCCGGCTTCAGATTATCCTTGGGCCTGACCGCTTCGGGGCGCTCCCCGTTTGTAACTGCTGGCTTCTCTGGTACGTAGAACTTACCCGTGGTCTTCAGATTATCCTCCGGCCTAACCGGAGAGGGTCTAACCACGTGCTGGTATTCAGTTTTCTCCGTAAAAGTCATTTCTCCCTCAGAGCGGAGATTATCCTTATGAACCACTCTAGTAACCTTATCGGCGGGCTTGTATTTCTCCTTTTCTGGCAAAACCATCTCTCCCTCTGGCCTCAAATTATCAAGCGGCTTCTTTTGTTTGGGCCTTTCGGCAGGTTGGAAGTCAGATTTGTCGGGTGCGTAAAACTCTCCCTCCACCTTCAAGTTATCCTTCTGCCGCACAACGGTAACCCGCTCGCCTGGTTGATACTTCGGTTTGTCTGGGCTGAAGAACTCTCCTTCCGGCTTCAAGTTATCTATAGGTCTTACTTGCTCCGGTCGCACGACATATTCATATTCCTTCTTTTCAACGAAACTCATTTCACCCTCAGTTCGCAAGTTGTCCTTTTGGATTATCTTCACCGTTCTGTCACTCGGTTTGTAAACCTGTTTCTCAGGCTTCGTGAACTCTCCTTCGGGTTTAAGATTGTCCACGGGTTTCTTCTGGACTGGTCTCTCAGCGGGTCTGAATCCTGGTTTATCCGGAGCATAGAACTCTCCCTCTGGTCGGAGATTGTCTTCAGGTCTGACTTGGGATGGACGTTCTCCTGGCCTGTACTTCGGTTTCTCCGGACTGTAGAAATCTCCCTCGGTTTTCAGATTATCCTCAGGCTTCTTCTGGACAGGCCTCTCAGCGGGTCTAAATCCAGGTTTATCCGGAGCATAGAACTCTCCCTCAGGTCGGAGATTGTCTTCAGGTCTGACTTGCGTAGGACGTTCTCCAGGTGTATACTTCTGCTTTTCGGGACTGTAGAAATCTCCCTCGGGTTTCAGGTTATCCGTGGGTCTGACTTGATCAGGACGGACCACGTATTGATACTCCTGCTTCTCCACGAACGTCATTTCACCTTCGCTACGTAGGTTGTCCTTACGAATGATCCTTTCATTCTTATCAGCAGGTTTGTAAACCTGTTTCTCAGGCTTCGTGAACTCTCCCTCTGGCTTTAGATTGTCCACGGGTTTCTTTTGGACAGGCCTCTCAGCGGGTCTGAATCCTGGTTTATCCGGAGTATAGAATTCTCCCTCAGGTCGGAGATTGTCTTCAGGCCTAACTTGGGATGGACGCTCTCCAGGCCTGTACTTCGGTTTCTCTGGACTGTAGAAATCTCCCTCGGGTTTCAGATTATCCTCAGGCTTCTTCTGAACAGGCCTCTCAGCGGGTCTGAATCCTGGTTTCTCCGGAGTATAGAACTCTCCCTCAGGTCGGAGATTGTCTTCAGGTCTGACTTGCGTAGGGCGTTCTCCAGGTGTATACTTCTGCTTTTCGGGACTGTAGAAATCTCCCTCGGGTTTCAGATTATCCTCTGGCTTCTTCTGGACAGGTCTCTCAGCGGGTCTGAATCCTGGTTTCTCCGGAGTATAGAACTCTCCCTCAGGTCGGAGATTGTCTTCAGGTCTGACTTGCGTAGGGCGTTCTCCAGGTGTATACTTCTGCTTTTCGGGACTGTAGAAATCTCCCTCGGGTTTCAGATTATCCTCTGGCTTATTCTGGACAGGTCTCTCAGCGGCTCTGAATCCTGGTTTCTCCGGAGCATAGAACTCTCCCTCAGGTCGGAGATTGTCTTCAGGTCTGACTTGCGTAGGACGTTCTCCAGGTGTATACTTCTGCTTTTCGGGACTGTAGAAATCTCCCTCGGGTTTCAGGTTGTCCATGGGTCTGACTTGATCAGGACGGACCACGTATTGATACTCCTGCTTCTCCACGAACGTCATTTCGCCTTCGGTACGTAGGTTGTCCTTACGAATGATCCTTTCATTCTTATCAGCAGGTTTGTAAACCTGTTTCTCAGGCTTCGTGAACTCTCCCTCGGGCTTTAGATTGTCCACGGGTTTCTTCTGCACAGGCCTCTCAGCGGGTCTGAATCCTGGTTTCTCTGGAGTATAGAACTCTCCCTCAGGTCGGAGATTGTCTTCAGGTCTGACTTGCGTAGGGCGTTCTCCGGGTGTATACTTCTGCTTTTCGGGACTGTAGAAATCTCCCTCGGGTTTCAGATTATCCTCAGGCTTCTTTTGGACAGGCCTCTCAGCGGGTCTAAATCCAGGTTTATCCGGAGCATAGAACTCTCCCTCAGGTCGGAGATTGTCTTCGGGTCTGACTTGCGTAGGACGTTCTCCAGGTGTATACTTCTGCTTTTCGGGACTGTAGAAATCTCCCTCGGGTTTCAGGTTGTCCGTGGGTCTGACTTGATCAGGACGGACCACGTATTGATACTCCTGCTTCTCCACGAACGTCATTTCACCTTCGCTACGTAGGTTGTCCTTACGAATTATCCTTTCATTCTTATCAGCAGGTTTGTAGACCTGTTTCTCAGGTTTCGTAAACTCTCCCTCGGGCTTTAGATTGTCCACGGGTTTCTTCTGCACAGGCCTCTCAGCGGGTCTGAATCCTGGTTTCTCCGGAGTATAGAACTCTCCCTCAGGTCGGAGATTGTCTTCAGGTCTGACTTGCGTAGGGCGTTCTCCGGGTGTATACTTCTGCTTTTCGGGACTGTAGAAATCTCCCTCGGGTTTCAGATTATCCTCTGGTTTCTTTTGGACAGGCCTCTCAGCGGGTCTAAATCCAGGTTTATCCGGAGCATAGAACTCTCCCTCAGGTCGGAGATTGTCTTCAGGTCTGACTTGCGTAGGACGTTCTCCAGGTGCATACTTCGGTTTCTCTGGACTATAGAAATCTCCCTCGGGTTTCAGGTTGTCCATGGGTCTGACTTGATCAGGACGGACCACGTATTGATACTCCTGCTTCTCCACGAACGTCATTTCGCCTTCGGTACGTAGGTTGTCCTTACGAATGATCCTTTCATTCTTATCAGCAGGTTTGTAAACCTGTTTCTCAGGCTTCGTGAACTCTCCCTCGGGCTTTAGATTGTCCACGGGTTTCTTCTGGACAGGCCTCTCAGCGGGTCTGAATCCTGGTTTCTCCGGAGTATAGAACTCTCCCTCAGGTCGGAGGTTGTCTTCAGGCCTAACTTGCGTAGGGCGTTCTCCAGGTGTATACTTCTGCTTTTCGGGACTGTAGAAATCTCCCTCGGGTTTCAGATTATCCTCTGGCTTCTTCTGGACAGGTCTCTCAGCGGGTCTGAATCCTGGTTTCTCCGGAGTATAGAACTCTCCCTCAGGTCGGAGATTGTCTTCAGGTCTGACTTGCGTAGGACGTTCTCCAGGTGTATACTTCTGCTTTTCGGGACTGTAGAAATCTCCCTCGGGTTTCAGATTATCCTCTGGCTTCTTCTGGACAGGTCTCTCAGCGGGTCTGAATCCTGGTTTCTCCGGAGTATAGAACTCTCCCTCAGGTCGGAGATTGTCTTCAGGTCTGACTTGCGTAGGACGTTCTCCAGGTGTATACTTCTGCTTTTCGGGACTGTAGAAATCTCCCTCGGGTTTCAGGTTATCCGTGGGTCTGACTTGATCAGGACGGACCACGTATTGATACTCCTGCTTTTCCACGAACGTCATTTCACCTTCGCTACGTAGGTTGTCCTTACGAATGATCCTTTCATTCTTATCAGCAGGTTTGTAAACCTGTTTCTCAGGCTTCGTGAACTCTCCCTCTGGCTTTAGATTGTCCACGGGTTTCTTTTGGACAGGCCTCTCAGCGGGTTTGAATCCTGGTTTCTCCGGAGTATAGAACTCTCCCTCAGGTCGGAGGTTGTCTTCAGGCCTAACTTGCGTAGGGCGTTCTCCAGGTGTATACTTCTGCTTTTCGGGACTGTAGAAATCTCCCTCGGGTTTCAGATTATCCTCTGGTTTCTTTTGGACAGGCCTCTCAGCGGGTCTGAATCCAGGTTTCTCCGGAGTATAGAACTCTCCCTCAGGTCGGAGATTGTCTTCAGGTCTGACTTGCGTAGGACGTTCTCCAGGTGTATACTTCTGCTTTTCGGGACTGTAGAAATCTCCCTCGGGTTTCAGGTTATCCGTGGGTCTGACTTGATCAGGACGGACCACGTATTGATACTCCTGCTTCTCCACGAACGTCATTTCGCCTTCGGTACGTAGGTTGTCCTTACGAATGATCCTTTCATTCTTATCAGCAGGTTTGTAAACCTGTTTCTCAGGCTTCGTGAACTCTCCCTCGGGCTTTAGATTGTCCACGGGTTTCTTCTGGACAGGCCTCTCAGCGGGTCTGAATCCTGGTTTCTCCGGAGTATAGAACTCTCCCTCAGGTCGGAGGTTGTCTTCAGGCCTAACTTGCGTAGGGCGTTCTCCAGGTGTATACTTCTGCTTTTCGGGACTGTAGAAATCTCCCTCGGGTTTCAGATTATCCTCAGGCTTCTTTTGGACAGGCCTCTCAGCGGGTCTAAATCCAGGTTTATCCGGAGCATAGAACTCTCCCTCTGGTCGGAGATTGTCTTCAGGTCTAACTTGGGTAGGACGTTCTCCTGGCCTGTAGTTCGGTTTCTCCGGACTGTAGAAATCTCCTTCTGGCTTTAGATTGTCCACGGGTTTCTTCTGGACAGGTCTCTCAGCGGGTCTGAATCCAGGTTTCTCCGGAGTATAGAACTCTCCCTCAGGTCGGAGATTGTCTTCAGGTCTGACTTGCGTAGGACGTTCTCCAGGTGTATACTTCTGCTTTTCGGGACTGTAGAAATCTCCCTCGGGTTTCAGATTATCCGTGGGTCTGACTTGATCAGGACGGACCACGTATTGATACTCCTGCTTCTCCACGAACGTCATTTCACCTTCGGTACGTAGGTTGTCCTTACGAATGATCCTTTCATTCTTATCAGCAGGTTTGTAACACTGTTTCTCAGGCTTCGTGAACTCTCCCTCGGGCTTTAGGTTGTCCACGGGTTTCTTTTGGACAGGCCTCTCAGCGGGTCTAAAGCCAGGTTTATCCGGAGCATAGAACTCTCCCTCTGGTCGGAGATTGTCTTCAGGTCTGACTTGCGTAGGGCGTTCTCCGGGTGTATACTTCTGCTTTTCGGGACTGTAGAAATCTCCCTCGGGTTTCAGATTATCCTCTGGTTTCTTCTGGACAGGCCTCTCAGCGGGTCTAAATCCTGGTTTATCCGGAGTATAGAACTCTCCCTCAGGTCGGAGATTGTCTTCAGGTCTGACTTGCGTAGGGCGTTCTCCAGGTGTATACTTCTTCTTTTCGGGACTGTAGAAATCTCCCTCGGGTTTCAGATTATCCTCTGGCTTCTTCTGGACAGGTCTCTCAGCGGGTCTAAATCCAGGTTTATCCGGAGCATAGAACTCTCCCTCTGGTCGGAGATTATCTTCAGGTCTAACTTGGGTAGGACGTTCTCCTGGCCTGTACTTAGTTTTCTCGGGACTGTAGAACTCTCCCTCAGGACGAAGATTGTCCTCAGGTCTGACTTGGGTAGGACGTTCTCCAGGTGTATACTTCTGCTTTTCGGGACTGTGGAAGTCTCCCTCGGGTCTTAGGTTATCCTCAGGCTTCTTCTGGACTGGTCTTTCAGCGGGTCTGAATCCTGGTTTCTCCGGAGTATAGAACTCCCCCTCTGGTCGGAGATTGTCTTCAGGTCGTACTTGGGATGGACGCTCACTGGGCTTGTATCCTTGTCTTTCTGGAGTGTAGAAATCGCCTTCGGGCTTCAGATTGTCTTCATGCCTAATTTGAGTGGGACGATCGCCTGGTCTATACTTCGGTTTCTCAGGACTGTAGAATTCCCCCTCTGGTTTGAGGTTATCAGTGGGCTTTACTTGTCCTGGTCGTACCACATATTGGTACTCCTCTTTCTCCACAAAGGTCATTTCTCCTTCAGTGCGCAAGTTGTCGCTCCGGATAATTTTCTCAGGCCTTTCTCCTGGGCGATAGGCGGGTTTTTCCGGTGCAAGGAATTCCCCTTCAGGCTTAAGGTTATCCACGGGCTTCTTTTGGGTGGGCCGTTCGGCTGGTGTAAAGCCTGGCTTGTCGGGTGTATAGAACTCGCCTTCGGGCCGCAAGTTGTCCTTGTGTCGAACTTGTGTTGGGCGATCTCCCGGCTGATATATTGGCTTCTCTGGGCTGTAGAACTCACCCTCGGGCTTAAGGTTGTCCGTGGGCTTTACATATCCAGGACGGACGGTGTATTGATACTCCTCCCTCTCGTTGAAGGTCATTTCTCCCTCTGTCCGCAGATTGTCTGTGTGTACAATTTTCTCACGCCTCTCGCCGGGCTTGTATGGCTCTTTCGTGGGCACTGTGAAGTCTCCTTCTGGCTTTAGATTGTCTTCTGGCTTCTTTATGACTACGTAGTCCACTAATATGTCTTCGTTTGGCTTGGGAATGCTTCCATTGTCTCTCTTCGACCAGGTATTTGTACGTACTCTTGTGTATGCTTCGTCGAGGGTATCTGTTGGGAAGTATACAGATTAATATACGAGAATCTTAGTTTCATATGAATATACTTGCCATCAGTTTCAATGATTGTGTTTTCTGTGGATTTCGTTGTGCTGGTTGAGCAGTGATGTCGTCTGAAATGCGAACAATTATATTTGAGAGAAGTCCTCGATGATTGAACTATTATGCAATTCTTACCCGCATGTGCAGATCTCACAGATGCAACGCTCGCTGTGCGTCGTAGTTTTGTTCTTGACGACTCCACGCTGAAGAAAAGACAACAAAAAATGGATAGGAATTTTTCTTGGGGTACTATCGCCTAATCTACTACTTACGTTTCTTGAATCGTCTAAGCGTTTCTTATCGGTGCGCACATAATCGATTTCATCATAAATATTCTCGGTAATATTTTTGTGTTTCGATGTTTCATTCAGATTCAGGGTTATATTCTCATTGTTCTCCGAAATCGAGGTGTTCTTCTCAATCTCCACAAACTCATCCACGTAGATGGTCTTCTTGGGCGTCTCTACAATCTTCTCAATGACATCCGTGTGCACCTTCTCGTCCAGAACACGCCAGTCGTTGATGCTCGCATCGAAAATCTAATGGGAAAACAGGTTCAACATATGAACAGATATCCAAAGGGGAACACACCCATGTGTGGAAATAGCGCGGAGCTGGTGACTGGTGTGGCGCCCCGTCACGCACAATCTATGTATATATATGACTTACCTTCGTTACCTCCGTGGTAGTTGTTATGTTTGCCACATCGGTATTATCTTTCTCGATTTCACGAGCAATGTCATTGGGCACGAAAGCTTTGCTATCTGTGAACGACTTCTCGTCGACGACCGTCCACTTGCCGAGCTTCGTGTCGTACACCTTCGTGGTGTATGTTGTGGTGGTTGTGTTGATGACATCATCGACTATTTCGGGATAGCCCCGGTCATTGGTGCTGTCCACAGTCCGTTCGTCCACTACGCGCCACCTATTGTTGCGCCTGTCGTATATCTTCTTCTTGTACGTCACCTTGCAGCTCCCGTCCGACTCCTTGCTGACGTACCGCTCGAAGGTCGGCTTGCTTGTGTTGCCACTAGGCAGAGTAGTGGTGCCATCGCTGAGCTCTGTCCAGGTCTTGGTCTTCACGTCGTACACCTCCTTCTTGGACGACGAACTGGACTGCTTTGTGCTGCTCAAGCTGCTACGTGTGGTGCTCTCGCTGACCTCAGTGTTGGACGTCAATGACGTGGCCCTGTTATGGTCCACAGCTGTTGTGGCTGCGCTTCCCGACAATAGTTCCAGTTTATCGTTCTGCGAGGTGGATGACGTCGCTTTTGTTGTGGTCGCGGTAGACGGCGCGGCAACCGGTTCGGGGCAACTTGACGACGTCACCGATGTGTCGTGCCCATCAGCTGTTCCGCTGACGGGTGGCAGCTTTGGCACGCTCTGAGATTCGCTGAAGTTTTTGCTGCTGATGCTGCTGCTTTTGATGTTGGTGTTGGTATTGGTATTGATGTTGGTATTGATGTTTGTGTTGGTGCTACTGCTCGTGTCAAAGCCAACCTGTTTCCTCGCGCCGGATGATGTCATACCGGTAGCCGCTGCGTCGGCTCTCTCGCTTGCAATGAGCGTTTCATTGGCGCTCCGAGTGGAGCTGGAACTGGTTGTGGAGGCGAAGTAAGTGGAGCTGCTGCTCGCTTGCTGTTGCTGCTGCTGGCTGGAAGACGAGGACGTGTACATCTTAGAGAGGCTGCCGCCGCTGGCCGACATGGAGAGCGTGGGCGTTGTGATCTCCACCACCTCGATGGGAACGGAGAACACTGGCTCCTTCTTCTCACTCTCCAGCAGATCGATCGAGGCAATGATCTTCTCGTTGGAGTAATCCCTGGAGATCTTGGCGGTGCTGCTGCTGCTGCTGCTGTACTGCTCCGACTGAGACTGGGATTTGGACTGCAACTTGGACTGAGATTGCTCTGTGTACGAGGATTGGGAGCTGGACATGGCAGCCTTGCTCTTGCTGCTGCTGCTGCTGCTGTAGCTCCTGACGCCAGCAGCTGGCATGGAAATGGGATGAATGGTTGAAGTGCTGGCCACTGATCCAGGTGTGGCGGCTGAGGTGCTCGCCACTGGCTCTCCATACGACACGGACTCGTGCTCCATCGAGGTGGAGCTGCTCTTGGTGGTGAGTGTCGCTGTGGCGTCGGGTCCCAGTTGTTTGGTGAGCTTCGTGGCCGAGGCCGACGACGATGTGGTTGTGGTCGATGTGGCTGGCGGCTGCTGCTGCTTCTGCGACACTTGTTTCTTTTTACTGCTTTTTGATACCATTTTGACACAGATGAGGTAATCACTGACTGAGAGAGTGAGAGACTGGCGTTGCACCTGGTTGGTTTTTGGGGCTTATTTGGGGTCGGGGTTCGTTTGTTAATCACAATTATTGCTGCTCTTGGCCCTGGCAGGGGTTATTAGTAATATTTCGCGGTTTAGATCGTTTTGTTTCGTTGCTTCGTTGTTTCGTTGTGGATGTTGTGGGTATCTGGACTGGTGTGTCACATCGTTTCCACGGCGGAATGTCGAAATACCTATTTTTAAATTACGATACGTACGAGTGTTAAACGCACACGAGCACGCGAACCATAGTTCAGACCGAAGCACCAATACTCTCACACATAGGCGACAGCAAAAAGCTTAGCACTCGCACACTGGCGCACACTCGCAATACTCTCACGGGAGAGAGTTACAGATGCAGCCACAGATAGCAGGGGGCAGATAGAGATGGAGATACACTCTGAGATGGAGATTTGACTGAGGCGGAGGAGATACTATTCGGTTTTATTCGGTTTTCGGTAATTTGTATTTTATATTTGGGAGCACTGGAAGATCAGCAACCGTCGCGAAGCACAACTCAAAACGAACTGATCGCGTCTGGAACGGCTTTCAAGCGACTATCTGTGTGCTGCCACCACTCGCAAGCAACAGCAGTGGCAGCAGAGCAGCAGCAGAACCGGCAGCGTTTGTGGGTTTTCGGTCGTTGGAGCTTTGGACTCATGAGCGTTAGCGAGTGGGAACGGGAACGGGAACGGGAGAGGCAAAACGCCTTCGCACAAAGCCAGGCCAGCGGCTGCGACAGCGGCTGCGACTGCACAGCGTAGGTATGGCAGTGTATCTGACGGATGCGTAGGCCGCTTTGCCGCTTTTGGCTGCCACGAAACACGAACTCCGAGTTCAATAAGCCAATAAGAAAAGAAGCCATAAGGTACTTACATCGATCGACGCTACAAATACCCTTGCAGATCGATCGTACTTGTCATGAGATTTTTAAAGCATTTTCCCCTGCGACGAGAAATGAGCAATGGAACGGAGATGCTTTCTAGATGTTCGTAGATGCTTCCTTCAGTTTGCGGCAAACATCTGTTAAGAAATCATAATACCCTTGCAAGATATTAATACATACGGGTAATAAACACAACACGAATATCGATCTTTTGTGAAAGTGGCAGTAGAAACAAAACAAACAGATGTATGATGACCGGACAGTCGTCCAAAAAAGAGGGACATTGAGAGCCAAAGGCAGAGAGACAGACACGAAGGTGCAGGGAAAAAATTCAGAATCCAAAATTGGTCTCCGACTGTGTCTGGCGGATGCACAATTAAATTATGAATAGTATCTGACGCTGATTAGTCAGCCGCAGCATTTTCGCCAAGTTTGTAGATACTTTTTCGATCGTCTAGCCCGACGGCGCTACGTGGGCGCCCCGGCAAGACCAGACCAGACTAGACCCCAGCACAGAGCTGAGTAAGCTCCACTCGGATCACAATTTATGTATAGGCTATGGCCCAATTGATTTATAACGGCCTTTGGTGGGTGCAGATGAAAAACATCGGAAAGCGGCTATGCCCAAAGTCGGAGTGCTGCCTCCCAAGAGAAGCCCGGCTCGGCCTCCGGATCGAGGGTGGACAAGTACGAGTACGAGTATACTACATAAGATATACTAAGAAAAACAGATCCAATTCTTGTCTAATTCCAGACTGACGTCATACGGGTCGAGCGGCTCCGAGCTGAGGCTCATTTTCATGCGAAGCCAAAAGCAATCAAAACTTGTTTGCCGCCGAAGCACACATAATAAAAGCACACGAAAACGAACAAATAGAGAAAAGATACAATGCAAAATTAAGTGGAGAATACAGTGGAGCCTGCTTAGCATTCACAGAGCACACCGAACCGACCAGAGCGGACCCCAGACATGGGCATGGGTCTAGCTGGAACTCGCAGAACTGACGCTGCAACTGGGACAAACAAGCTACAATTCAGATCAAATGCCAATTGGAAACTATGCCACTGGGTACTGTGTGCAGTGCTCGCTGGCATGGCAGAGTGACTAATTAGAGACGGATTCCAGCAGATCTCCACTGTAGAGACTGTACAGAGTGTAGTTGAATGATGACATCTCGCCGTCTCACAGATTTCCTTGGAATTGAAATTGAGTTCTGAGACGACACTGACAGAGGCGTACACGAAATTTATGCGCAACTTTTGGCAGTCGCTGGCTGAAGCCCCAAGTTCAATTAATTTTAATTCAACAATAAACCAAAATGCACTCCAAGGTAACGTGTCCATGTCGGCCCTTATTTGGCAGGCGGCCGAAATAACTTGGATCACCGAAACAGTTTTTACGAGTACTGGTACTGATACTGGACCTGGGACCATTACACAATGCACTTTTAGGGCAGGGCCTGCAAACAGCATTTTCTCGCTGCCAAACTGTCCAACTATGTACAATCGATGCCCATATGGGCATGCGGAGGCCCAGTCACGTACCAGTGGCATAAATTATACTATACTCGTCGCTCAACAAAATTATAAACAATTAAAAGTATTCGCTGATCAATGAATTGTAATGACTACGGTCCGCCGCGTCGGTTGTGGCGCATGTTGAACGTTGACGACGTGCCCGGGCCTTCTCCGGTGGGGACAGAACCCCCCACATAAGCATGTAGCCTGACCAAAATCATTAGCCAAAACATTTTGGTTGGAACAAGTGCCCGGTAGCCGTACGAGTATTCCAAGCATTTCTGTTTTATCTTATCTGAGTTCAAATGTTGAGAGGAATTTGCATTTGTGGGACTTTGTCGCAGTACTACCATAATTGCTCGATGGATTTTCGGTTGAGAAATGGCAGGGCGAATTGAGTCACTGGCAAAGTGGCAAATGTTTGCGTTCGCTTGTTTAATCAGCAAATATATTTATAGAGTGCCTTGGACAGCACTTGCCGAATGCTTTCCAACACATTCTCCAACAGATCTTAACCTTCGAGTGCCATATGCAGCCGAAACGCAGTGTTCCTCTTATCTGTAGGTGGAACACTGAACGATAGTTGCTTAATGCGAAAGTTTAGATAAGGAAGAGCCTGTACTTTCCCAGTGTATCGATTAGGTGAAGTCCAGCTGCAAAATTTCAGCAAATTCACACATTTTCTTTGTTTATTATTATTATTCATACTTTCTGTTTTGTATTTCTTTAAGGCTTACATATTAAAATATATGCTTAGTGTAGTTTCATTAATTATTGTTTCATTTATCAGATTGCGATAATTACCAATTACTCGTACTCCCTGCTGCCTGCTACCCACCCTAGCCAAGACCACGCCCACTCCCAAGCACTCTCTCAGGTCTTAAAGTTGACTTTTTACAGTGTGATATTCGTCGCGTAGCGTGCATCGGTGTGGGGTCTTTTCTTGGGATCAGGGACAGGCGACGTGGATGCAAGTAGCTGCTTATTTATGCTGATTATTTTCTGAGTTTCTCCTTGATAGGCTGGTGTCGTCGTCGTCGTGTTCTCCCTAATTAGCTGTGTGTGTGTGTTATATATTGTGTCCTACGGTTTCTTACATCTAGAGATTTGCTTCATATGCCTGCTGCGGTTCGTGTTAGATATAGTATCTGTTAGCTAGTTACTGTGCCAGGCACCTACTGCACTCCACACTCCACTTCGGATCTGTTCTCTTCTTCGGGTCGTTGCTTCTGTTCTCTGTTCTTTTGTATGTACATTCGCGGGAGTCTGGACAGGAATGCCCACGCTCCACGCTGGAAGCTTCACACCCACTCCCACTGGAGCCGGTTACGAATTCTTCAAGTGCCAACGCCTGCTAGTGTCTACAACTAAGTATCCGTTGTGGTCTATGTATATTTTAGTTTTGTTTCTGTTAATATGTATACAGTTTACACTTAGCATATATGTTATTCTTATATATATATATGGTTGTATAATTGTTAGTACAAGTCGGGTAATGCATAAAACCATCGAAAGAAAATCTTTAAAACTCGCAACGCAAACAGGTTGATGTTTTAGATGCGACCAACGCATCGCAAAATTAACAGATACTCTACGCGAACGTTTTTATATATATATATATATCGTATATATGTATATATATATGTCTGTATATATATATATATATGTAAATGGGTGTTACATATGCCTATGTAAGTGGTAGGTAGGTATATATGCATGTGTGTAACGCTAGCTAACCAATATTCTGTGTACACTCCGTTGACTTATCCGCTAGCCTAAGAACTAACTAAAACATTACATCTACGGGAATCGCCGTATGCGCCAATTGGAGGACACTTTTGGGAGGGATGTGCGTGTCTGTGTCCGTGTCCTTGTCCGTGTCAGTGTGCTTGCGTGTGTCCTGTTCATCTTCATATTTACATTCCACGTCGTGGTGCTCTCGGCTACTCCACATCCATGCCTGCCTGCTGCTGTTGCTGTGCCTGATCTTCGGGCAGCACACTGCGGCAAATCTCGTACTTGATGACCTTGCCGTGTATATGACCATCGGGCAGAATCTGCACCTGCACCGGCTGCTGTCCAGCGGCCGACGCTGCGGCTGCTGCCTCCTGCTGTTGCTGCTCCTGCAAAAGTGGGGAAAGGCAAAAGGTTTAGCTGAAGCCTGGGACAAACTCTGTGCCAGAAAAGAAATATAAACTAAACTAAAGATTACGCTCAGGCAGGCGGTGGAGGAATCGAGTTGCAGGGCAAAATACTTATAACAGAGAAAGCATAAAACATAGACAGATGAGAGAGGAAGACAAGACAGTTGCAGGCAGTTCTATAATAGATCTTACTTAAAGCTAATTATTGCATACGTACGAGACAAACGACAGAGCAACAAATACAACAAAGAACGAAAGAGATTACCAGAGATATAGACACTTAACGATTAGCGATAATTTGGATAGTTCATACACACCTAAGCGCGCAACCTGAAGCCACAGAACGGCCACTGAATTTCGATTCGATTGGGATTATATCTTGTAGAGTTATGGGTTTATTTTGATTTATAGTCTACCAGAGCACCAGCACACACACACATGCACTGGCACACCCGGCCGGCCACATACTCGACTGCTTTCCCCCAAAGGATCGAGGACGAGAGGCCTCCGCCTGTCTTGAGGTGAAGGTGCAGGTGCAGCTACAGACTTTGCATATGGATGTCGTTCGAGAGTTGGTTTATATTTTGATTAGGCTTTATTTTCAGTTTCGTGGCAACTTATTGAATTTCTGTTTTCATTCTGTATCGGTTTCTGTTTCTATTTCTTGATCTTTTTTTCTTATTCTGTTTCGTTTAGTTCTTAGTAAGAAGTAGTTGGTACAACAAGCTGCAAAGTATTGGAGAAGGATATGCGATTATGTTTCAGATTCGATTTCATTGGTAGAGTGATATATGGTTGAGTATGTGGAATAGATGGCCAGGTGGATGATAGATAGTTGCAGACGTAGACACAGAACAAAGTAAACACTGCTTAAAGTATCCTAAGTGACAGGACATCCACACAGTTGGATTGGGGAAAGTGAGAGCAGCACAGCCTGAGAGTAGTCTGCCGACCGATCGAAACTCCCTTCT